TTAATAGTCCGATCTTCAAAAAAGATAACATCTCTCGCTTTTAGTAGTTCTCTTCTCTTTTCGATCCTATAACTTATAGTCGATTCATCATCTCCATAACTCAAGAAAACATAATGCTTTGTCTTGCTATCAAGCTTAGACCTTTTATCTTTAGAAACATGTATAAATATTCTACAACCAAAAACTCTCAAACGTGTATAGAAAAACATCTTTCATCTTCCATACTTTTTCCGGCGTATTAAAATCAAGGAGATTAATGGAGAAAGATTGATCATGATAGCTACATTGGTCATTACCTCACTCGAAAAAGACTTTGGCATCTTTACATGAGAGAGCACGCACTTGATTCTTTCAACAATAATTTTGTTCATTTTTTCTACCACTTCATTTTGTCGTGCATAAAAAAACATCTTCCATACTTTTTATAGCACATTAAAATCAAGGGGATTGATGGAGAAAGATTGATCATGAAAACTACATTGGTCATCACCTCCCTTTAAAATGATTTAGACAGACTTTACATGAGAGAGCACACACTCGATTCTTTCAATAATAATTTTGTTCATTTTTTCTACCACTTCATTTTGTTGTGGAGTCTTCAAAATTGTCTTCTCAAATTTAATGTCATATTCCCCGTAATACTTCTCAAATAGACTCATGTATTCACCTTTATTGCTTGTTCGAATACATTTTAGCTTTCTACCAGTTTCTCTTTGAACTCTAGCATATAAATCCTTGAAGACATCAAGCAATTGATTTTTGAATTTCAAATTAGTAGCTCCAAATTTTCTAAGATGATCATCAATAAAACTAACAAAATACAAAGCATCTCTAAAAGACTTGTCGGTTATAAAACAAACATTAATATGAACTAAATCAAGAACATGAGATTTCTTATGTGGAGGTAATCTATGAAATGACATTCTATCTTATTTACTTGCTAAACAATGAGTATAAGGGTTAAAGGTCATGCCTTTAAAAGGAAAGAGGTTCTTCTTGGCATGATACTAAAGCATTTCTCACTCAAGTGTTCAAGCCAGTTATGCCATAAATCAGTATAGGCATCTTCAATGGCATTCATCTCTTCTTTATTCATCTTAACTTGTGACATGTAGAGACCCATCTTATTGCCTTTAGCAATAATAAAGGAATATTTGAAGAGCTTCCATTTAACATTTCTAAAAAAGTTGTGAAAGCCTTCTTCATAAAATGTACTTATAGAGATTAAATGTAGGGACATATATGGTACATGTCTAGTATCCTTAAGCACCAACTTGCATCTGGTATTTGTTTCTAACTAAATGTCTTGGATGCACACAACAAAATTAATTATCAAACGTATGAACAAATCACAAATGACCCCACCCAATAGTATTAATTATCAATGAATCTATATATAGAAAATGAAGGGATCCACCGTACGGAAGCAAGAAAAAAGTAACCTAACTAATTATGAGAACACGTTATTAAATAGTCTAATAAAAGGATTTATTGGATTGATGTGCAAGTTAACCTAAAAAAATATGATCATTGAAAAACAAATATACATGTGTTTTAAGAGTTTTAATTTTGCACGTAATATAAATTCTTGGATTAAATATGGTTCTTATATTCTGCCACCCTTTCAATCCAAAATCGATAATACTTTCCGGTGTTTGTTTGTTAATTTGCATTACAAAGAATAATCAAATTTAAAATCCCCAGCTGAGTGGGGGACCAAAGAGATGTAAAACCAACTCCAGTAACTAATGGCGTGCCAATACCGAAAATTTCGATGCATTTGTAGTTTTATATAAGTTGGATTAAAGGCCTCACTATCTAATTGTATTATATTATTTTCACTTGTACTTTTTGATGTTTTTTATTATAGGAAGCTGGGAGCATAAGGGTGAGGTTGAACTATAAGTTCACTAGGGATTGGGCTCTCTTATCTTATCGTTAACATAATATATCATGTTAATTTAATATTTGCAATTTAAATTAAATAAAGGACTAAAATTTTATCAGAAGATTTTATTCTTATTTAGCTAGCTACATCGATCTACTTCTTTTTATATTTCAAATTTAGCCAAATCTGTTTTCTTTTATGTACTACCAACATTGATGCATATTTTATAAAATATTGCCTCTTGATCTATTTCTCAATCTGTATTTTAATTTATTAAATTTTGTTTCAAAGAAAATCAATAAATTTAGGATTAAGTTATAGAAAAAAAATCAACAATAGATCAAAGTAAAATTAGAATAGAACTATGAAATTTAATTAATTAAAAGCTGTAAAACTTGCATGTGCAAACCTAGAATTTAATAAGATACAGAAAAATTTTTTACTTATCAAAAAACATTCAAGAATTTTTTGAATGATTTCAAGTACTCCTTTCTTTATTGATAAATGTTGAAGAAGGTGATTGGTTGTGATTTTTTCATTAATAAGAAAAATTAAGCAATGGATCTTGTTTTTGCTATATATAAGAATTATGAAAGATTATATAAATTTGGAATATTTTTTTAAGATTCACAATAAGTTAGATTAAAAGAAAAAAATTTATATAGGATAAATCTTATGTGATTAAATTAATTAATTTAATTATTTTTAAAATAAAAAAATATAAAATAATCTTAACCCTTTTTTTAGAAAAGAAAATAGCAATGTCATTAATAATAAATAAAGTACTATTAAAGCACTATTTTCATACATTTAGAAAAATAACTTGCTATTTGGAAAGATAATTAAAAACATCAACAATGAAGATGGTATCTCAGGCAATAATTGACACTTTCAATGGTTTGAACGATAAAAATAATCCTATGAAATTCTTAAATCTAAGCTGTCTAGATATGAATTGATTGCTTTTTACACGCACAGTTGAGTTTGAGTAATCATGAATCAACAGAAAAATAACCGTACTATCTAGCTACATTGATAAATGATCCAAAACAACTTACCAGTACCGATCTCCTCCATCTAATTAGAAACAACCACCAGACATTTATTCAAAAGTAGAAAAAAATATCGACGAACGAGAAAAACAAATCATCGACATAATACCACGTAGATTTAGGTATAGAGAAAGTAAAAACAAAAAGGTAAATTATGATAACCACCTTATGATTTGATGGCAAAAATACTTTCTACCTCTATTTTTTTAATATTACACTTTACACTCTTAAGTTTTGACACTTATTTTTCTAGTCAATAAACAACGAAATGACTAATAAATGTCCATGGATAAATTATGATAATCACCCTATATTTTGATGTCGAGAACATTTTGTATATTTTTTTTAATATTACATTTTACGCCTCCAAGTTTTATACCATGATACTCTCATGGTTCTCAAGTTTATTCATATGCATGTGGTTATCAAAACTAATATATTTTAAGTTTGGTTAAGTGTTTTACATTCGATAATAAAAATATTTCGAGAATCATACTAAAACTAAGAGATAAATTTTTATGATTTTCTTAGGCTCTCAACAAAATTTCATATCATTCTAAATAATTTTTTAATAGTTTTCTTAATATTTGATGTTTAAGAAAATTAAAAAAAAAACCTTCTTAACATGAAAAAAAATTAAAATAGATGAAATTTTTATTCTAATATATGAAAAAATTCATTCAAAATACTAAAATTTAATTTTAAATTGAATTTTTTTTTATCAACGACAATGGTCAAATTAAGCATAAGAACAATGTTTATCAAAAATATAATATTTCATGGATAAAATTGACCAAATTGACATGACAAGTCTTAACGTGTCACAATCTCAATAGTTCAAAGGTAAAAAATGTCATTAAGCCAATTTGTTGACTATTGTGTTTGATCTTGAAAATAATAACAACTTCAAGTATACCGTAGGAGTTAAAATAGTCCTCCCACGTCTAAAATGACAAACTAATAATTGGATGTAAATTAATGCCTATAAACGGAATCAAACTATAAAACATTATGTGTTATGAAATATAAAATTTTAGAGTATAATTTGTAATATTTAAAAAATAAAGTTGGAAAGAGTTTCTGCCGCCAAACAATAGAATAGTATCGTAATCTATCCAAAACAAAATAATCTGAAGTTATGAAAAGAAGAAGAAGAAGAAGAGTCTAGACCTAGCCATCTATTAAAATTTAAATGGTCCAAATTAAACTAACGGACATTTATCCTCAAGTTAACACTAATCTGAGAAGAGTCTAATCCGGTTCCCTAGTCTCAAAAGTATTTCATGGTTGACAAACAAGGATTAAAAGATGCGTCGCCACGCCACTCCCCTTCTACGGCGTTCCGTTTTATGGACGAAGTTTGGTATCAACATCAGTCATCCACTTCCTATTACAAAAGTAAAAGATTCATCTTTTTAATCAGCATAATATATGATATTGGACGGTGCTTCTGATACAGACAAGCTCTGCATCGTAATTAGCATCTTAGGCCATGTCAGTGGCCCAAGGCGATTGAAGAAAATCACTCGACTTGGAGGCATTCGATCTGGGCAATCTATTTGGGTCGTCCACCTTTGTCCATGTTTTCGCCCCTTCTATTACGTTCTTCAACTTGCAGTTGTCACCCCTTCTATTACGTTTCTCCAATTTGCGATGAGAAATGCAAATAAAATGGACTTATTGCGTTGCCAATATCCAGCCACCTACCTCATTTGACCATTCTAGTGCCAATGACTTCACAGTGATGCAACATGTCTTAGTTCATTGGGTCCACATGGCTTCTAATTCATAGTGGCTTCTTTATTGCAAAATCGTGGGCGAACCCATCTCACATTCTCACCTAATCCAATTAATGAAAGAAATTATACTCCCACGAATGTAATTGTTTGATATAAAGCATCTGATAGACATTCAAACCAAAGGAGAAAAACTACATTGAGTATTATACAATCATGTGGCAGAGCACATAACTACAAAGACCTCGAAAAAGAAAACGAACCTAAAATCAAATACAAAAGGATTAAAGGTAGGGACAAATAAAAAGTTACAAGAAGTTGAAATTAATTACAATCCTCAGTGCATTTGTGGTTCTTCCACTTGTGAGCCACCTCAGACAGTGCTTTCGTAGAAGATCCATCTTCACCGACTACCCTGGCTGCTGCGTCTTTCAGGTCCTTCATTCTATTGCGGACCCTCTTCCCTTCTTCACCTTCCATTAGACCCCTCACAACTTTTGCAATCTCCTCTCTTCCGATCAGGCCATTTTCACTGGCTTTTGGCCTCAAGGCCACTTTAATGTCCTTAGTTAACATCCAGGCATTCATTTTCTGCTCAGCATAGAGTGGCCATACGATTAATGGCACCCCATTGACAACACTTTCGAGGGTGGAATTCCAACCACAGTGGGTTAAGAACCCTCCTGCTGACCCGTGACTCAACACTTGTGCTTGCGGTGCCCAAGATGGCACCACTAGACCTCTCCCTTTGGTCCTATCCAAAAAACCTTTTGGTAAGAAATCCAAAGGGTCTTTGTGACTATCCACGGAAAAAAATGTGGCATTAGCTACTTTATCATTTGGGCTCCTCACAACCCACAAAAATCTATGCTCACTCATTTCCAAACCCAAAGCCAATTCAGTTATCTGATCATAAGAGAGGGTCCCGCCACTCCCAAATGAAACAAATAACACCGAGCCGTGTGGCTGATCATCTAGCCACTTCAAACACTCAGACCCTTCAACCCCACTAGGACTGGAACCCATATTCACCAGTGGACCAACCGGGTAGACTGGTGGTTTACCGGGTTCTGCTTCTTGCAAAGCGTTTAGAGCCCCCCTTTCCAAGTCCATGAAGCTATTTACCATCACTCCATCAGCCAGTCTATACCTCTTTGTATGGTAAAGAAGCCATTTATATGCATCATTCTTTCGATCTTGAGTTGGGTCAAGCAACTCTCCCCCAGGAATTGGTAAGCACCCGGGTATCTTCACGGGTTCTTGCATCTCTCCGTACTCACAGGAAACCATCTCATCAAGCTTTGGCAAATAAAAGAATAAAGACAAAGCCATGGCTGGAGCAGGAAAGAAAATGTAAGGAGAGATATTGAATTCTCTAGCAACATCAAATGCATTAGTTCCAAAAAGATCAACAACCAAGGCCACAACTCTAGCATCACTGGCATCTAGAGACCTGAAAAAATAACGTAGAGAAGGAAGTGACCGAGCCACTGTAAGGCTAATTGCGGTTTCAATCTTGACATCTTCTGGGAGGTCGCTTAAATTAACAGGGGGAAGAAATACTGAGTCAATTGTGCTAGGGAGTGAACCAAGAACCGATCTTTGTGCTTTAGACGGAGAACCGTCTGATGGCATAACGAAGGTGATTGACAAGTTGTGTTGGCGAACGAGTCTCTTGGCTAACTCAACCAGTGGGATGAGATGACCCATCCCTGGACTAGGGAAAATCGCTACATGGGTTGGTGAATCAGTTTGTGCCATGGCAGGAAAAAAAAAAAAGCTTCTCTGTTTATGGTGTCTAGGTGCGTTATAGGTATGAAGCAGAGAGGAGAAAAAATGGGGTCTTTATATAGAGGATTTGGTGTGCGTGTGCGTGTATTTGTGCGTATAATTGGGTGTATAATTGTGCATGTCTGAGAGATTAATTAGGAGGCTATTTATTGGTGGCAAACTGTGGAATTAATGATTGGAGTATAATTTTCTTTTCCGGGCTTTTATTTCCGACCTTGCTAAAACGAACGTGGGCGAAACTCTGGAAAAGGGACAGGATTCAATTCAATATACATATTTTTTCTTCTAGATGGGATGAGTTTTCTGGATACATACTTTGGGTTCTAATACGTGTGGTGGTGATGTCAATTCCGACGTAAGGCTTATGTAATCAACTAACCTGAGCATGAGGTGGACCCCGCCCTTTGGCGTCTTGTTTGGATTGCGATTCTTGTTTTTGTAACGTCAGCATATTTTCGAATTCCTATATAAATATTAAGAGCTGGTTTCACATCACTTCTAAAAAATAATTTTTATTTCATTTTAAGTTATAAAATCAAGTATATGTATGATTTTTTTTTTTTGGAAAAAAATCAAAAATAATTCTAGTGTTCCTTCTGGTGTAAACTGCAAAGAAATACGAGACTACCATGAAAAATGCATGCAATGAAAATAAGTTATTGAGCGGTTTAAGATGTTCTTATTTCAAGCAATTATTGGATAAGTCATGAACAATATGCTGAGAGAAACTTTTTTTTTACTCAATGGATCAATTTTGAGAAAAGAGATAGATACATAAAAAAAAAAAAAAGAGAATTACATTTAGATCCATCAAATAGGAGAGAAAAAATAAAAAATATATAAATAAAAAAGCAAACATGAAAATTTTCTTATCATTTTTTTTGGATCCAAATATATATATATATATATATATATATATATATATATATATATATATATATATATATATATATATATATATATATATATATATATTTTAATTATGTCATATACAACAATTATTTTTTGTATATTATAAAATTTCTTCCATCCCGATGGAAGTAATCCGGATGATACTTGGTACCCACATCCTCCTTTTCCAAATTACGAATTCTTTCTTTCGACTTCGATATTCTTGATTCAATTATGACCATAAAAATCTAAATTCTTAATACGATTAGCCATATGCTCGTCAAAAATCGATTAGAAATCAAATAGGAGAGAGAAAATAAAAAAATAAGTAAACATGAAAATTTTCTTATCATTTTTTGTGGATCCAAATATATATATATATATATATATTTTTAAATTATAACATGTACAATAATTACTCTTTGTGTATTATAAAATTTCTTCCATCCCGATGGAAGTGATCCGAATGATACTTAGTACCCCCATCCTCCTTTTTCAAATTATGAATTCTTTCTCTCGACTCGATATTCTTTATTCAATTATGACTCGTGAAAATCTAAATTCCTAATACGACTAGCCACATGCCGTCAAAAATTGATTGGAAATCAAATATGAGAGAGAAAATAAAAAAATTAGGCAAATATGAAAATTTTCTTATTATTTTTTGTGGATCCAAATATAATTTTTTATTAAAAAAAATTATGACATGTATAATAATCACTCTTTGTGTATTATAAAATTTCTTCCATCTTGATGGAAGTAATTCAAATGATACTTGGTACCCCCATCCTCCTTTTTCAAATTACGAATTCTTTCTCTCGACTCGATATTCTTGATTCAATTATAACCGTGAAAATCTAAATTCCTAATACGATTAGCCACATGTCATCAAAAATCGATTGAAAATCAAATAGGAGAGAGAAAAAAATTTAAGCAAACATGAAAATTTTCTTATCATTTTTTGTGAATCCAAATATAATTCTCTTTTTATTAAATTATGATATGTACAATAATTATCATTTGTGTATTATAAAATTTCTTCCATCCCGATGGAAGTGATCCGAATGATACTTGGTACCCCCATCCTCCTTTTTCAAATTACGAATTCTTTCTCTCGACTTGATATTCTTGATTCAATTATGACCGTGAAAATCTAAATTCCTAATACGACTAGGCACATGCCATCAAAAATTTATTGGAAATCAAATAGGAGAGAGAAAATAAAAAAAATTAAGCAAATATAAAAATTTTCTTATCATTTTTTGTGGATCCAAATATCATTTTTTTAAAAAAAAATTATGACTTGTATAATAATTACTCTTTGTGTATTATAAAATTTCTTCCATCTTGATGGAAGTAATTCAAATGATACTTGGTACCCCCATCCTCCTTTTTCAAATTACGAATTCTTTCTCTCGACTCGATATTCTTGATTCAATTAGGACTCGTGAAAATCTAAATTCCTAATACGATTAGCCACATGCCATCAAAAATCGATTGAAAATCAAATAGGAGAGAGAAAATAAAAAAAATTAAGCAAACATGATAATTTTCTTATCATTTTTTTTGTGGATCCAAATATAATTCTCTTTTTATTAAATTATGATATGTACAATAATTACCCTTTGTGTATTATAAAATTTCTTTCATTCGATGGAAGTGATCCGGATGATACTTGGTACCCCCATCCTCCTTTTTCAAATTATGAATTCTTTCTCTCGACTCGATATTCTTGATTCAATTATGACTATGAAAATATAAATTTCTAATACGACTAGGCACATGCCGTCAAAAATTTATTGGAAATCAAATAGGAGAGAGAAAATAAAAAATTAAGTAAATATAAAAAAAATTTTATCATTTTTTGTGGATCCAAATATCATTTTTTTTTAAATTGTGACATGTATAATAATTACTCTTTGTGTATTATAAAATTTCTTCCATCTTGATGGAAGTAATCCAAATGATACTTGGTACCCCCATCCTTCTTCTCCAAATTACGAATTCTTTCTCTCAACTTGATATTTTTTATTCAATTATGACTATGAAAATCTAAATTCCTAATAAGATTAGCCACATGCCGTCAAAAATTGATTGGAAAGCTAGTTTGATTATTTTCATGTAAAAAATAAATCGCAAGTTGTGGTTCAAAAGAAAAAAAAATCTTGAAGGCAAACTTGGTGCTCGCGTGTTTAATAAACTTGATTGTGTTTAGAAACTTGCAATTGTTTATATTCAGGATTGCTTTAACTTCTCTTTCTTTTTAAAATTTTTCATCTTAGAAATCTGGAGTTCAAATCTTTTCTTTATAACCCGTAAATATTAATAAACAATGGTTTAATATAAATAGTTTATTATGTAAAGAGGAATTTCAAAAACCTATTGTAAAAATGTCAATGATGAGAAATATCAAGCAAATCATTAAAGCTATTAAATATCATATATTTTCCCTCCTTTATTATTATTATTATTATTATTATTATTATTATTATTAATGATGGCAACCTAATTTTTGACAAATAAGTAATTACACCATTTATTAGTCTAGAGGAGGAATTCCTAATGCTCGAGGAAGCAAGAAATTTTTGTTCTAAAAAATGACAAGAATAAACTTTCAAAAACAAAAACACAAAAATATGAGCCATCATATCGTGAAATGAGTTATCGCAGGATTTTACTCATCTAATTGCTTATAATTTTTAAGAAAAATAAAAATTGTTTGAATGCACCTATTAGAATTCATTTATTGTAGCATTGTATTAAAAATAATAAAATTAAAGTTTTAACATAAAAATCAGTGAGATTAATTAAAAATATTAAATAATTACTTTTTTCATACAATATTCCTTTTAGATTTAAAAAATTGTTTTCTTTGACTTTTTCACTCATTATTAGAAAGTTATCAATTATTATACTATATCAACATATTTTATTCATAATTTTTTAAAATATTTTTTTAGAATTGCATTTGGACAAGATTTTACAAACTAGATTTTATTAAGAGTATTTTAGAAAAGTACATCACTTAAGTGTTGTTTGGTTATTAGAAATAGAATGATGAAAATGAAAATAAAAGTTTTATTTTCATCTAATAGTCATTTAGTTGAAAGGAATAAAATAAAAATAAGAATGAAAGTTTTACTCTCATTTTATAATTACTTGATTAAAAGGAATAAAGTAAAAACGAGAATAAAGAGTGAGAATAAAAATAAAAATTTTATTCTCACTTTATAATTACTTGATTGAAAGGAATAAAGTGAGAATAAAAATAAAAATTAAACATAATTTTATTCTCATGTAGAAAGTGAAAATAAAAATAAGAAACGATAATATTTTTTTCTTCAAAAGAATGATACATTATTTTTGTTTATTGTGTATCAATTATTTTTATGATCACCACCTCTATTGACGGGATAATAATAAAAAATTATTATTATTATTATTTTATCTACCACCATCACCTTCGCCTCTATTAACTACGGTGGTAAAAAAAAAAAAAATCTATTGTTATTATTATTATTATTATTATTCCGTCATCACTTTTGCTTGACCACCACCATTACTTTTATTATACCACTATAATCACCACCATTGACGGTGATGACAAAAAAAATTATTATTATCATTATTATTTCTTCACCACTCCTCTTTAATCATCACCATCACTTTTATTATACTACCATCACAACTACTATTGATGATGATTAAAAAAAAAAACTTTTATTATTATTATTATTCTATCATTGCTCCTTTTCTATCACCCTTATCGCTTTTATTATACCACCACAATGACTATTGTTCTATTGTCACCTCGTACAATGATGATGATGATGATATATATATATATTTTGTTATTACTCGCTATTCCACCTCATCCTCGTCCCACTTCATCACCACTACTCGTCAAGATCACAATAATCACCACCACCATTGACGATGGTGATAAAAAAATTATTATTATCATTAATATCTCTTCACCACTCCTCTTTAATCATCATCATCAATTTTATTATACTACCATCACAACTGCTATTGACGATGATAATAATAAAAAAAAATGATTATAATAATAATAAAAT